TTGCTCTCAAACCCAATAACAAAACCATACATTCGGTACGCTCAAAATATTTCATATTTTGTCTGTCTATTTTTGCTGTAGATATTTCGATTCGCATATGCACTTTTCAATTTGGACATCGGCCAGTCGGGATTAATAATTTTCAATTGAAAGGGACCAAAGCAAAACAATAATAATGCATATTCCATTATAATTTGGCTTACTAAAGCAATGCATACTCAACCCGTGTTTCTAATATTCTAATATTAGTTTGAATAAACATATTCAATCGCATCCATTTACAATTCACTTTATTTTTTATGTTTTCAAATATGTTATTTTGTATTCTAAGCAGAGAGTCGAACCAGAATCGAACCTAAAACCGTAAACCAAAATTTTTAACTGAACCGTAACTGTAACCGGAACGAAAAATTGCTGAAGTGAAAAACCGAAACTGAAATTTTAATTACGGTTAATTTTGATTCATTTTATTACTGTAAACATGACTGAAGAAACATTACAAATTGCATGTGTTGAACTAGTCACTAATTGAGGTTTATTCTTTTATATTTTCTATATTTTAATTGAAATCAGCAGTAAGAAGGGAATTTGGTAAATACAAATAAACCAAAATTTGATATTTGACTCGATTTTATATTTTAACTAACCAAATTAATTTGTTCGATTTTAAATTTTAACCGGAACTGAACCGAAATTTTAGACGAACCCAAACTGATAAAAATTTACTTGGAACGTAACCGTTAACCGGAAAGAAATTAATTTCAGTTCGACTCTCTGATTGTAAATAAACAAATTAACATTATTTATACATTTGTTGAACATATTTACACCACAAAGACAAATGATAAGGATACAATTTCTGTCTCTAAAAATGTAACGAAAATATGATGCTATTGGTTTAAATTTTGTACATCATTTCATTTATTTTTACGTCAATGTCAGAAATAAATCTTCGTTTTATGCTGCTTTTTTTCTCGGATGGGATTGCGTTTGACGGGTGAAGGGGATATTATTATTATATATATATTTTTTTTACATCGGTACCCTTCTTTATGATATATGGCTATTCAAAAATGCGGTTATGAAAGGAAGAGAATAAGGGTTGGTCCAAGCGAAGAGAAAAAAAACTGGATGATAAAAAAAATCTAGTGGCAGGAAGCAAACAAAAAATATTAAGGGTGAAAGCGAAAAATTTCAAGATAATTTTATTGAGTATAGATACATTTGTCATATAGTGGATATCATCATACACTTTGAAACATTGTTTTTGTGTGTAATTATTTATGTAATTATTTTTAATTTGTCATTTTTGCTTCAAATCATACGAAATTTTGTTACATTCTTTGATTCCAATAAATGAAATCATATACACTATGTTTTCGTATTGCATATTTGATGATAAAGCTTTTGACTATATCCAATGATGTATTTACTTATAATTCGATGCTTGCATAAGTTCTGCAACTCATTTAGCATTGATGTTGATGATCATAGTAAGTGCTTCACCAATGACAGCAAAGTAAAACTTTATCTGAACAGTACATCAAGCGAGGAATACGCGATTTGTACGGGTATCTGCTAGTTTACAACTGCCGAAGTTCTAACTGAACTGCAGAAAGTTTGTCGGATAGTAGGGGGCTGTTGCGCAACGATGTCGGCTATAATTTCATCGGATTTATGGAATTCCGTCAATTCCTCTGCATCCATGTCTATAAACAAACAAACAAATAACCAAACCAACGTATTCAATTATAATTTATTTTGTATGTATTTATTAACGTTTCCATGTTGCGCAATATTCTAATTAGTCGATACCAGTTTAAACTGCACACTCAAAGACTTGAATTATGTGTATGTTTGTGTGTGTTTATTGCATGCCTATCTTTGAGCTCGGACTTGAGTTCAGTTTTCGTGTTTAATTGGTGTGTATATTTCCAACAACGAGCTCATTTCCTTAATTGATCCAGCGCCGCAGTTGACGGAGGAAGAAAGCCCGAACGAAATTCGTCACGCTTGCCGCATCCCGATCTCCACCTTTTTCCAGGTACAGCGCGAAGAACAACAGCCGTAATTTATCTTTTCGCCCGTATATAAATCACAAGTAATGGAAAGAAAAACGCCGGCAAGAGGTTTTTCCTTCATCCTTCATCATCTTTACGCCCTTCCGCTCGAAGCAACAACGTTCCCTTTTCGCTTTGCCATCCATTGTTCGCCAATTAATTTGTTTATTGTTGCATAAATTGCGCGGCAATTTTTGTATTTGGAGCGCGCTCCATTTGATAAGAGGAAGCGGCCCTCGTCAAGGACGACTTTATTTATTGATAATATGCCACCTCCCTACTATTTCTACCATTGTACATCTCTATATTCGTCGTTTTCTCGCCTCTTTCAATACACATTAAACAAAGAATTCAATTAACGTTTTGCTCAAACAGATATACAGCGGATAATTTACCAATTGCTTTTAATTACATAACTGGCGGCATAACACATCTATATTGTTTTTTTTGTGTGTAGTTTCTTCGCATTATAATTGATTGTTTTGACCTTTTCTATCTCACTCTTCAATGATTTCTTTGGATCTCTGGATAAATCGCAGTACTGTATTATTATTGCCAATGAATCTTAATTTCCTCCTTATGGAATTATGAGTGCTAATATCTTGGAAAAGGAAAAGTTTAGTAATTCCAAACACATATAAACACAACACATCAACGGTTATCTAGTGTTTCTAATGATCGATATTATGCAATATTAGCATCTAGAAACTCAATAAGATATTATTTGAATACTTTAAACTAATATTAATTTATTTCATGAACATTTTAGATTACATATTCATTTTTTTTTAAATTGTAATCAAATTCATTTCTGACATTGAACATTGTTATCAGCAGTAATTTATACAAAATTTTGAATATTTATATTTAAGTTTTACTTTTATTTTTCATAACAAAACAGTATTTTAAGTTATTTTTGAAAACTGCTTTACAGAAGTTTGCATGAACTATTATATTAACATTTATTGAACTGTTTTTCCTACATCTTCGGCTTACCGAAAAAGTTTTCGCATTAAGACGAAAATCATTGCTTAAACTCTTTTCCATTATTATCTATAAGTTTTTCTTGAATTCTTGAAACTAAATCAAATTGATTTTTAACTTGAATTTCACTATTTTTATGTTCATATGACAAAATTGATAATTCTTAATACATATGGACATTTTGATGCTTTGTATAAGAATAAAGTGTAATTTTTCCTGGGTCAAAACACTGCATTTATATATCGGCAGATATAAACTATTATTTTCTGAGCCCATTAAACGGACAAATCAATTAAAATTCCATTTTGGATATGAAAAAAAAAACAATATTAATTAACATTTAATTAACTTAAACTATGAATTATCTATTTAGTCAACTAATTCTTAACGATTATTGTAGAGAACATTTTGGAAGTTCCAAATCACGAACAAAGATAATTGAATAATACCGTTTAATGGTTTCGTGTGGACTTTCCTGTTGTTGTTGTTGTTTGTAAGAAATATTGGATATTGAGATCATCAACTTTTATGGATGCACTAAAAATTGTTCAATCTAATAAGAAAAAGGTAGAAAGAAAATGACGACAATATTTAATTCACAGATAGAAGAATCCAAAATGAACGCTTTCTTTTTATTATTGTGACCTTGATAGATTTTCAGATTCAGATCACACCTAGATCGGTTATTTGCAAACCGTTATATTGCGGAATCCATACCTACTTTTCATTTTTTTTTGTATAATAGTTCACACGTTTGTTAGGCAACGATATTTCTTCCACGTCTAGTTATTTTGACATGAGCTTACATTTGGAGTTGTGGTACAGCTTCGCTTCTATTATTAATTAATTACATGCGTGTTTTGCAACCCAGAGCCCTTGTTTTTCCACCTACATTCTGCTGTGTAACGATATACATGTATATATTCGAATATTAATGGATTTCGGTGTGCGAATTCCCATCGATCCGTGGGCGCTCTGCAGAAGTCTTCCTCCTAATAGGATTCAAAACCACTTGGAATTACATTTCCTTCCTAGTTATTTTCGATTCCAATCTTCCTCCGGTGAAAATGCGGTACCGTCACTCCTTCAATCGTAAAATTTACCAAATACAATGGCATTGATTTACTTCTAATATCTTTCAGAATATTTCAGTTTATTTGTTTTAATATTTATATTATATATTTGAATCATCTTCATATCTCTTTTCTAATTATAATAATTGAATTAATAAATACTCTTCTAAGTTTCTTATTTCAATTGATAATTATTTTAAAAAACATGCTACAAAGTCAACAAAATAAAGAAATTAGCATTAGCATTTACTAAGGTTTGATAAATAAATGTTCATAGTAAAACAAAAATTCTGCTATTTTGATTATGTCATTCACAATTTGATATACTTAATACCAATTGGCTTAATGTCTCCTTATTTAACTACAAGAAAAACTAATAGATAGAAGTATTTGAAATGCATGTCTTCAGATTTCATGGTTTAAGTATGAACGCCTCTGGTATATTGTAAACATCAATGAACAAAATTGTTGCATTATTATAATAAATGCATCAACTTGATACACTTCTGACTACCACTTGAATTTCTTTAGGATTTCCGTGACCCAGGCGACAAAAGACGAGGATGAAAAAAGTTTCATATCATGTTATTTATTATTAATTTGTGTATCGTCAATGAAGAAATATTATGTGTATTATAATTTATTTAAGTATATAATGAATTTTAATTGTCTGTATTTAAAGATTTTCAAATTGGCTGGAGTTGTGTAGATGAATTTCCCAAATTTTAAAATTTATTTATTGACTTTTAACTTTCTGTTTTTGTTTTAAATTCTGTACTTGTTTTGTGCTTGATGTAGCATGATGATGTTTGTTGTTGTTGTTCGATGTTGCTAGATGTTTGTTTATACTGACATGTTTGTTGTTGTTGTTTTTTTCTTGAAGGGACGGCGGGGATGTCGGAGATCGTCGCGGCGTTGGAGGTGGTGGTATCTGCGGGCCGGGAGGGGGTGGTTTTGGAAATGGTGGCGGCGGCGGCGGCGACATCGGAGGAATTGGAGGAGGAGGAGGCGGTGGCGTCGGTGGCGTCGGCGGTGCCCGGCGCGTGCCCAGTCTGCGGTTAGCAAACGGACGGGTCGCCGCGGCTCAGTCCGAAGAGGAGATCCGGACGCCGCCGCCTCACCGCTTGGCCAAGGATGACTCGATCAAAATCAGTATCGAGAACACGAACACGTGCACCGACTCGCTGGTGACCGCACTCGATGACGAGACTCTTCTCATTCCGGACTTCCTCACCAACGACATGAACTACAAAGGCAGTACCGGCAAAGTCCACTTCGGGGTGGACGACGCTTCCCTCTATGGCACCCCCAAGGAGGAGCCGGGTCCTACCCCCATGGGCTCCACGGAAGCCAGCAAGCAGAGCTTCCTCAAGAACCAGCTGCAGGCCCTCTTCCAGCCCACCGATAACAAGTTGGCCATGAAGCTTTTCGGGTCCAAGAAGGCCCTCATGAAGGAGCGCATCCGTCAGAAGGCTGCAGGACACTGGGTGATACATCCTTGCTCCAGCTTCCGGTAAGTCCTCTCAACACTTTAAACGTAATTCAAACATTACTTTCAAACGTATTCCCGCTTCACGTCCAAACAAAATAAAGACTCGCTACTTAATCAAAACACACTTCAATTCCAAACCGCACGTGACGAAAACGTTTATTCCGAAGTAGCCAATCGCTAAAGTGATTAGTTATTCATATACAGTTGTATAAGACTTTCATCATAATTCATAAATACACACACAACTTTCATTACAAATTTACATTCAAATCTTTAAAATTTAACTTAATATTTCAAGAGATAATTTACAAATTAATTTATTTACTTCTTTTTTCTAATAATATCTAATTAATTAGCGTTTTATCGGACAAATTTCGAATATTAATATTGTAATTTTATATAAGATTTAATTATAAAAAGCATATGTACTCTTACTTTTTTTATAATATGTCTACAAACTATATTACTAAATTAATTTCTAAAAAATGTTTTGAAATGATTTCGAGTTAAGAAATATTATATTAAAAATTAAAAAAAAAATCATTCTGCATTTATTAACTGTTCCACTTTCTTGTTTGTTTAACATTTTGTTCATTACACTGATATCTAAATAATTCAATTATTGATTAATAAAAATCAACACATTTGATTATAAAGTTTGGTTTTCCCAATGAAAGATATAAATAAATAAAACGAAAATAAATCTTCGTTCTCATTCGTAATGTTTTGCAAATGCACATATAATGTAAACTTTTCGTATAAACTCTGACCTTACTTTTGAACTTTTATTTACATATAAATCGAACAATTTCATTTGTATCTTTATGTTTTAAATTATTATCATTTTAATATACATTTACACTGTTACCAATTATAATATGTTTTTATACATTAAATAACAATCAAAATATAGTGTAGTTTTAAATTTATTTATTATCAACGGTCCATGTTGTTATATATTTTTTTTACGGAAATGATAAAATGGCTTTCGGTTAATCTTGCGATAGTTGGACTAAACTTCCGGAAAATTTTAATGATATAAGCGTACTGAGCAATTCTAGGTTGTTTATTATTTGGAAAACATGTTTCAAGGCGTTCGTTTGTCTATATATATATGTGTGTGTTTGAGTGTTTAATTCTCAAAACGTGCGAACAAAAAACGTTTGGAAATGAGCGTGAACGATTAAAATAGTTTACAGAATGCAAATAATTAATGAATCTGCTTTAAAAGACTTCATGGACATGATTAAAATGGAATTAGCGACTGCTGTGCTTCTCTGCGTGCGCGCTCGATTATTATGTAACTGACTCCGGTTATTAAAAACGACTTTTTATTCTTTCTTAATGTCTCCGCTTCTCGCTCCTATCTTAATATATTCCTAGTTTTAAAGATCAAATTACAATATACATATATAAAAATTATAAACTTTAAATTATTCATAATAATATGGTTCACTCTTGCATAATGCAATCGCTTAATTATCGAAATTTATCTTAGTTTTTACTGTGTTAACAACAATACTCCAATCTTCACTTAGTTCCATTTTATGTACTAATAAACTGAGCAGATATAATGTTCATTTTTTTTACCAACAATAGAATATGAACTTACTTTAACTATAAAGAGAACATTAAAATGTTAGGTCGTGTTTGGATAATGTAAACGAGTTTAGTTTACACGAGAATTACAATGTAATTGAAAAATATGAATTTGAGTTAAACATAAGGCAAAGATCGAAATATTCACATTCATAGAAATATTTATCTTTAGTATTATTTCAAATTAAATTGATGATGAAAAAATAAAAAAATGTACAGGAAAATTCGCTATTATATAATATTTGACAATGAGATTTCCTTATTGACTAATATTATAAAGTTTATTATAGTTGGTGTAAATGGTTTATTGCAGATAGTGAAAGATTTCCAAAAGAAACTATGTTATCAAGAGTCCTTCTATACTGAAGCAATTAAAACATAATTATTGAGATTTAGAGGCGAGCATAATATATGGATAATTTTTGTTTGCAAATTTAATCAGAAGTTTTTTTCTCTCTACAAAAAAAAATAAGATAAGCATGATTAAAGTGAGGTCCAAAGCGGTTTGTTGTAGAAGGTATTACACTTAAATAATATGTAGTAAAAAAAGCTAATGGTAATTAATTATTTAGTGATTAGCTATTAAGTGAGATTAAGGATGGATTATGTTTCTGGTTAATTCGGAGCCCCCAAAGAAAGCAATAAAAAAAAGAGGATTGCGTTCACGAAAATAGTTTATTATCTGGTTTATAGTTGCCTTAGCCACAAGCTACGAATTCCAACCAAGTACATACATGCAGATTGTCTGTTTATGTAGAACGTATATTATGACTTTTAAAGCACACACTCAAACACACACACACGTACGCATACGTATTTACAAATACACACACACACACACGGGCAGGCGCATTACGTCTCTAGATTAGCAAATTATATACATAGCTGCTTTAATAATGTAAGTAAGTAATATTATTTCTCCACTGGCCAACGTCGCTCCACATTAATCGCTGCCTCAATTTTCAAATTACGCTCAATTTATTACATAAAATCTTCATTTGCTACTATTGCACATTTACTTCAAAAACAATGCCAGAAAATGATTCAGATTTTATAATATTTTATTGAAACTATTAAACGTTCAATAAATTTAAACCATTTTTCTTGGATAAGACAAGATTTTATTTAGTCTATAAATTTATTAGCCAAAGAGCCAAATATGAACATTACAACAATTTAAAAAAAAATTGTTTAGTAATCTTTTATTACACTAAATAAGTAGTACACTAAATAAAACTAAATTTTATACTTAATAAATATTTATTAATGCTAACAATGTGCTTGCATCTCCTTGGAAAGTTTGCCAAGTAAGTCAGCCAAAGTAAGGAGCCAAAGAGCCACATGCGGCTCTGGATCCGCACTTTCCCGACCACTGGTCTATACTATATGACTATTTCATAAATTATTAAAAAACAGGTATCACCCGACATACGAACTAGTTCCGTTTCAAAGGGATGTTCGTAAGTCGAGGAAATTTTAAAAATTTAAAAATATACTTATTTTAACACACTTTATCATGGTTTTTACTTTATATTCAAGCTTGAATAAATAGACATATATCTATTAAAATCCAATTGTTTTCTGAAAATATTCAGTGAAATCTCTATTAACAAGCACTTCGCTTAACGAGTGACGAGAAGAAGATTGTTACATCATTTTACAAAGTTTATTAACCTTTGCAAAAATGTCTCCGAAGCAAAAGTTGCAAGAAGAATTTAAAATAATTAGGTAACACCTCACTCAATAAGTTCGTAGGCGCCTCTATCGTCAAATCCATATGATTTTTAGGAAGTACCAACCTTCAGACGACGCCTGTCAAAATTTCATGGTAATCTAACGCTTAGATCACAAGTTGCAGTGGTTTTTGTGACGTTACTTTTGTAAATTTCAAAATCTGAATTTCTTGTGTAAAACAAATTCTATAAAAATAATAGAAAATTTTAAAACAATTTCAACTAACTGTTAATAATAATATTATTAAATTTTAAATAAATTTGTTAAATGATTTTACAATACTAGTGTTAAATTATAATCATATTACAAATTATATTTGTAAACATTTAAGAATTTTTCTTTGAAAAAAAATCTATTTTTTTCTTCTTCAAGTTTGATGAAATTTATTATTCTATGTACTAAAAACAAGGTATAAAATAATTGTAAAAATAATTAGATGTTAAATATAACAATAGGATAACAGAAAGATATCAATTAGTTACGTAAAGGAAATTGTTTTAGCGAGTTTCACATAATTATAATTCATTCGAATTGCAATTTATTTATAATATTTGATCTTGGTAAAATGTGCCGGTATTTCAATTGGCCATTCAAGGGCATCAGGTATTATACGAAAAAATGATGCATTTATAATAAGCTGGAAACCTACACAAAACAGTAAAATTCATACACACAAAAAAAATGGAGAGATGAGAACATGTGCTCGTACCAATTTATGGATGTTCTAAAATTTCAATAAAAAAAATCGATATTTCTTTAATATTTCTAAATGTCCTCGCTTAACGAGTTAATCCCTTCCAAAATTTTCGGATTTTTACTCGTATAGTATTCAAAAATATACATGATATGTGTACACAAGTTTTAAAAATGAGGTAGTAGGGATTTCTCTTCTCATCGTCACTCGTTATGCGAATCGTCGCTTGTTAAGCGAGTCATTTCTCTTACAATTCATTTTGCTCGTTATGCGAGGTGCTCATTAAGCGATGTTCCATTGTATAAGGATTTCTAGTGAATTTTACCCAAATTGTAACAACTTTGATGAGAATTTATAGAAGTGCGGAAAGCTAATTAGAATCGTATATTCGTTTTTTTTTTATTCATGAAAATGTAATCAGACTTTCTCAGTGAGTAAATTTCTCACGTGTCGGACATAAATTCCTGCGGAAGGATCGGACGCACGGACATAATTAACTTGGATAGAGGAATCTCGATTGGTTCGATTGGGGTTGGAGGAAAGGTCGAACCTCCGGTCGAGGGGTCAACCCTTATAATTCGGACGCACCGACGGACAACCAAGAAGCCGATAAATCTATCGCGTGCGAAGACGAAACAAGAGGAAACGAATCAAAATGAACCAATAGAAAAAAAAATGTCGATTCCAATACATCACTTCAATTTGAACTTTCAAATACAATGAAAAATTATAGTTTTATCACGAATAAAATGATACACTAGAATCTTTACATTTTAAAGATGTTTAAATATAAGTTATAAAGGATATGCTATAGCTAGGGTTTATATATTATTTAATATATGCAAAATTAAAAATCACAAAACAAAACATAGAATGTTACAAAATATTTTTTCTTAATGTTCTCTCAGAAAATATGATTTTAAATAGGAAACATGTCTACAGATCTATTGTTCAAATAGGTCCTTGTTTTGCATACAAAATTTCCAGAAATAGA